ATCAATATTTTTTCTGCAATATTTTTTTCAAATTCATTTTTATACGCCCATATATAGTAACCTAGGCTTAACAGAAGATCATTTTAATTCTAGGAAAGCAAAAATAACACTTTAAAAAGTTTTTCTTGATGGATTATATTTATTGGCACCTTATGCGAACAGGTTTAACGTCTACCTTTGGCTAGAGTGAGAATGAGTTCATAGAAAAAGTTACATCATTTCGCCAATAGTTGTAGTTATTTTTTATCTTCTCTCTAGGCCTTGATTATAGATTGTTTGGACTTTCCTGTGCACAACATTTCTCTCATTTTCAGCAAATTTCATCATGTGCTTCACAACGATTTGCCCTTCGTGTTGTGCTCGAGGTTATTTTTAGCCCGACTGTCTGCCTTTCTGAAACACCTCATTTCATACCTGTCCTCCCAGCACCTGCCCTCGTGTTCGACACGTGGTATCTGCTCATTTCCGTAGTTAAATGAGCAGAATGATGTTTATCGCAGTCTTGCATGTGCAGTCATCTCCATAATGGTTTCCATGGCTTTTTGTCCTTTAGAACTTCCTTCTGACTTCCATTTCTTATGCTAAGTTCCTTTTCTGCTTCCTTGCACGTCTGAAAAGCTACTTGCAAATTATTCTTGCGTTAAGAAAATACTGCCTTACTTCCGCATTGCACGGCTTTTGTATCTTGCTTCTTTCTGAGGCTTTGCAACATATTTTCCCCACTTTAACTTTTATATTTGCTGCTTACGCTTACAAATACTTTCTTGCATTTGTTTTGTATATTGTCTACCATTACCTGAGCAGGTTTATTCTATGTGGGAACATATAGGAAGATGTGCAAAAACAGTACTTTTTTGATTTTCTAAGTACCTCATAAAAGCATGACTTTCTTGGCAAAGCCTCGTTAGAATCTTTTAGCAAAATACTTTTCTATAGAATAAAATGAGCATCTCTGTCGCATTCTTCCTTAGCTCTAATGAACTTTTTCAAAGGATTTAAA